GGCTCGATAAACTTTGCAATACATAGTCTTTTGGACGTCGGATTTTTTAAAACCAAAACACTTCCAAACAGCAGACCCAGCTCCTCTCTTGGGCTCAGACTCTATCGGTGCATCTCCGGTCTGTCTTTGTTCATCCTGCATCGCTCTGTTCTGTTCTTTAATGTAACGTTACTGTAGCGACGGAGCCTCTCCAAGCTGTTAGCAGACTGTTGTGCTAGCGGGCTAGCTAGCGAGCTCTACCCAGCATGCCGTTCGGTGGTGTAATTTTATAAATGTACAATTATTAGTGTTACAAATTGTTTGTGTGTCACAAACTGTTGTGTCGTGGTGTTTTGCCCTGTTAAAGAGCGTTAGTTGTGGGCTATTAATTGTTGTTATAAAGTTATAACCATGACTAGGGGTCCCTCTCAATACACTTAAGAGAACTAGCTCCGACCATAGTGCCCTCAACAACGAACTATATATTTGGCTGCCTGTTCAGAATCAGAATCAGCTTTATTGGCCATGTATGCGTGCGCATATGCGCATACAATACACTATTTTACAATAGACAAGGAAAAATATATAAGAATAAAAAAAGGGCAGCAAAAAAAGTAGAACAGATAGGTAGGTATAAACATTTAACAACTATATACAATATAAGTATAAATATATCCCAAAAAAAGTGTATATACAGTATATATATATATAATACAGTAGTGCAATATTATTTATTGTTCATGAGAGTGACGGCCAGTGGAAAGAAGCTGTTCCTGTGTCTGGTGGTTTTGGCGTACAGAGCACTGTAGCGCCTACCAGATGGGAGGAGTTGGAACAGCTTGTGTCCAGGGTGTAAAGGGTCTGCAGTGATCTTTCAAGCCCGTTTCCTGACTCTGGAGGTGAACAAGTCCAGGATGGAGGGCAGACTGGAACCAATGATCCTCTCTGCAGACCTGACAATCCGTTGTAGTCTGTTTCTGTCCTGATTGGTGGCCGATCCAAACCACACAGTGATGGAAGAACAGAGAACAGACTGGGTGCTGGTGGAGTAGAACAGGATCAGCAGCTCCTGAGGTAGGTTGTACTTCCTGAGCTGGCGCAGGAAGTACAACCTCTGCTGGGCCTTTTTACTGATGGTGTTGATGTTGGGGGCCCACTTCAGGTCCTGGGAGATTGTGGATCCCAGAAACCTGAAGATCTCCACAGCGGACACAATGTTGTTGAGTATGATGAGGGGGGGCAGTGTTGGGGGGCTCCTCCTGAATTCCACTGTCATCTCCACAGTTTTGAGCTTGTTTAGCTCCAGGCTGTTCTGACCACACCAGAGGACCAGCTGTTCAACCTCCCGTCTCTACGCAGACTCATCACCGTCCCTGATGAGGCCGATGACCGTTGTGTCGTCTGCAAACTTCAGGAGTTTAACAGACGGGTTCTCTGAGGTGCAGTCGTTGGTGTAGAGGGAGAAGAGCAGTGGGGAGAGCACACATCCCTGGGGGGCGCCAGTGATTGATAGTCCGAGTACTGGATGTGATTTTTCCCAGCTTCCCCTGCTGCTTCCTGTCAGTCAGGAAGTTTGTGATCCACTGACAGGTGGAGGCTGGCACAGTGAGCTGGGAGAGTTTGGGTTGGAGTATTGCTGGGATGATGGTGTTGAACGCTGAGCTGAAGTCCACAAACAGAACCCTTGCGTATGTCCCTGGGGAGTCGAATGTGTTGCAGCATATGGTGCAGTCCCATGTTGACTGCATCATCCACCGACCTGTTTGTACGGTAGGCAAACTGCAGGGGGTCCAGCAGGGGTCCTGTGATGTCCTTCAGATGGGTCAACACCAGTCTCTCAAAGGATTTCATGACCACAGATGTCAGGGCGACGGGCCTGTAGTCATTTAATCCTGTGATGGAGGATTTCTTGGTGACCGGGATGATCGTGGAGCGTTTGAAGCAGGAGGGGACTTCACAGAGCTCCAGTGATCGGTTGAAGATCTGTGTGAAGATGGGGGCTAGCTAGTCAGCACAGACTTTCAGGCACGAGGGTGACACACCGTCTGGGCCCGGAGCCTTCCTGATCTTCTGTCTGTGGAAGAACCGACTCACATCCTCTTCACAGATCCTCAGTGCCGGTGGGGGGTCGGTTGGGAGAGATGAGGAGGAGGCAGGGGGAGTAGGTGGTTGTTTGATGATGATGGGGCAGGTAGGGGGTGTGAGAGTCGGCTTATCAAACCTGCAGTAGAAAATATTCAGGTCGTCAGCCAGTTGGTGATTGGCCTCAGTGGGGGGGATGGTCTCCTGTAGTTCGTGAGTACTTGCAGGCCTCTCGAAACTGACGAGGGGTCGTTGGTTGAAAACTTTTTCTCCAGCTTTTCAGTGTAGTTCCTCTTTGCTACCTTGATCTCCCTCGTCAGTGTTTCTGGCCTGGTTGTACAGGATCCTGTCCCCACTTCTGTAGGCCTCCTCCTTGGCCCGACGAAGCTGCCTGAGTCTTGCAGTAAACCAGGTTTATTGTTGTTGAATGTGCAGAAGGTTTTATTCGGCACACACATGTCCTCACAAAAACTGATGTAAGATGTCACAGTGTCAGTGAGCTCATCCAGGTCTGTAGCAGCAGCCTCACAAACACTCCAATCAGTGCAGATAAAGCATTGACTGTAGCTCCAGCTTTGCCTCGTTGGTCCATCTCTTCACAGTCTTCACCACAGGCTTTGCAGATTTTAGTTTCTGCCTGTAGGTCGGGAGACGATGAATCAAACAGGGATCAGAGAGTCCCAAAGCTGCACGAGGGACTGAGTGATATGCATCCTTTATGACAGTGTAGCAGTGGCCCAGTGTGTTTTTGTCCCTGGTGCTACACTTAATGTGTTGTCTGTATTTAGGCAGTTCTTTGCTGTGGTTTGCTCTGTTGAAGCCCCCAAGAACAATGAGCAGGGTGTCTGGGTGTTTGTGCTCCATGTTGTTGATCTGCTCAGCAGGTGTTGGAGAGCCTCACTCACACAGGCCTGAGTTGGGATGTAAACACCAACCAGGATAAATGAGGAAAACTCCCGCAGTGAATAAAAAGGTTTGCAGTCTATGAAAAGTGTTTCTAGGTGAGGGCTGCATGATTCTTTTAACACTGTGACATCAGTACACCAGCCTTCGTTAATGTAGAAGCAGATTCCGCCTCCCCTCGTTTTCCCCGACAGAGCCGTTACACGGTCCGCTCGGAGGAGTTGGAAGCCCGGCAGATGTAGTGCGCTGTCCGGGATGTGCCTACTGAGCCAGGTTTCAGTGAAGCACAGGGCGGCGGATCTGCTGAAGTCCTTTTTTAGTTTGTTGAGGAGCAGCAGCTCATCCATCTTGTTGGCCAGAGAGCGGACGTTCGCCAGGTGAATTGACGGGAGCGCAGTTCTGAGTCCCCGTCGGCGCAGATTAATGAGTGCTCCTGCTCGATTCCCTCATCGGCGTCTCCGATAAATTCCGAGTAGAGCTCCCCCAACTAAAATCGATGAAAAACTCTCTGGTTCGATGAAATGCGGCGAAAATTTTGGTCAGTGAATAGACGGATGTTTAAGAGTTCCTCTCTACTGAATGTGATCAGAGAGGGAGAGCTGGAAACAAGACAAACAAACAAAAACAGAAAAAGTACAAGAGAGCGCAGTACCGAGGCTGCCATCCGCGGCACCATCTGAAGAGTGACAGAAGTAGTTTCGGCTGTGCACCGGTATCATACGGAAATTAAAACCGGTAATCGCTACACCGCCCAGCACTATGATGCTGTATATCCTTTTTTCACCCAGCCAAGTCGTACTCATATAATGTCCCTTTTTCAAACTGCATCTGGAAGACGTTAAAACTTGTTTAAAAGAAGTCTTAATCAATAACATTCTGAACTTAACACATTGTTTTTTCTGGAGCTGATGATGGAAGCTGCTGCTGACAGAGCCATGTCGTTTCCTTCTCATCTCCATTAAGGAAAGGAGATATTGTGTCAGCACAGGAAGCAGGATGGAGCAGTATGTCTATTATCTCTGGTGTCCCTCTCTTCCCAATCGCAAGGATTACACAGTCAGTCCCACCACACTCACAGTGAGGAATATTTTGCCGTAGTCTCCTCTACGATATGAGACTGGACATGTGTCAGAATGTTCCTTATGTTCAGCATAAAATAAAGTGTGCGTGTTGTTGTAGTGAATGCGTGATTCGGGGAAATTGTGCTCTATAAGAAAGTATGAATTGGTCTGAACATCAGTTCAGCTCTGTGACCAACAGTTTACGGCTACAATGTGTGACACGCTGTACAGCCATATCAACTATCGCCATTTTCTTTTGACCACGGCAAACAGTTCAATATCCGTTCTACTCCTATTCTTTTTCTAGGGTGGAGGCAGCCCAAAAAAGACAGACAAAGCTGTTAGAAAAATATGTACTGATATGAAAATGGGTTAGGGTTACAAATGTCCCTGAAATCACAGTTAACTACTGGAAACTGCAGTTGCCAGCATCAACTCTTATTCTACAGTGTACCAACTCTAATCTACAGTTTATGATGAAAATATATTACTGTACAGTACTGTACACAACAGTGTAATGCTGTCATGTGTTTGGTTGCCATTACACTGTTATTTGACTGCTCCTACAGCAATCTCCATGAAGAGTTTAATACAGTAAAATGTATTAGAATGTGATGTTGTATAACACTGATAGGACCTAATGATTTAACAATTGTACATTTCCAAATGAAAACCCCTGAATATGCTAGAAATGACTCGGACAAGAGATGGCCTTACAATAGAGCTGTATCAAACACATTCAACTGATACATTTAAAGTAATTGTAGCTTTTGAAAAAGCAATCCATAATAACATCATCGCTCATGCTGAACAGGTTCTCAATCTGCATGTCCATGAATTCAGTCTCAAATGTCTTTAACTGTAAAAAGAGATAATAATAATAATAATAATACATTTTATTTATATAGCACTTTTCATAAAACTCAAAGACACTTTACATTAAAATCATCATATATAAAAGCAATACACTAAAAACATAAAATACACAATAGTGGTCACACATTAAAAGCAGTTTTGATGACCGTGTAACATTACATTTATCAAAGCCACTGCATCAAACAGATTCAGTAGCTAACACATTTCAGGAAATTAAGTTCTTGTAAAAAACAATCCATAAGCACAATCAATCATGTCAAATTTTCAGTCTAATAAAACTCAACCAAAAGTTAAACAATGAAACAAAAAGTCCATAAAATGCCAAAATCCCAAAGTTAGCAAGGAACAGGACAGGAAGTCAAACAAACACAGGACACAAGAGGCCGGGAACTACAAAATAAAACAGGCCCTCTTCAGACCCTCTTCAGTTTGCCAAATGCTTCTTCTTCTGCCAGGGTAGGGCCATGGCCCACCAATGCCCCATGCAAATGTTGGGCCATAAACCCCTAATTCCCTAGCCGCAAACAAGGTATGGGAGAAGCTGGTCCCAATTTCTTCCATCTTTGTCAATGGCGTTCCTCAGCATGGCTTTGAGAGTCTTGTTAAACCTCTCCACTAACCCATCCATCTGGGGGTGGTACACCGAGGTTGTCACCTGTTTTACTTGCAACAGCGAACACAACTCCTTGGTGACCCTGGACATAAAGGGGCTCCCTTGGTCCGTAAGGATCTCTTTTGGTATCCCTACACGGCTGCTGAAGAGGAACAGTTCTTTGGCTATTTGCTTAGCATTCACCTTTCTTAAGGGGACAGCTTCCGGGTACCGGGTGGCATAGTCTACTATGACCAAGATGTACTGATGTACCAAGATGTACTGATGTCCCCGCTCACTCTTGGGGAGGGGACCCACAATATCCATCCCCACCCATTTGAAAAGAGTTTCTATGATGGGCAAAGGGATAAGGGGGTTCCGGTACTGCTGTTTGGGGGCTGTGATCTAGCAATCTGGGCAATTGCGGAAGTAGTTCTCTACCTGCTTGTGAACTCCTGGCAAAAAGAACCTTTGTAATACTCGTTCCTTGGTTTTCTCTACCCCCAAGTGAGCTCCTAGCAAGTGGGTGTGAGCTAACTGCAGAACTGTGAAGCGATGAGGTTGGGGAACGAGGAGTTGCTCCATGACTGTCTCATTAGCTTTCACTACCTGATATTTCACTGCAAAGTGAGGGCATGAAGGAGTTAACCTGGTTCCCACTAAAGTTCCCTCTAGGACCTGGACATTTCTTAATGCATTACCAAGGGTGGGGTCCTGTAACTGAGCTGTTCCATACTGCCCTTTCAGTGGTGGCCGTTCCAGAGGGCCAACATCGTCACCCCCACTTGGCCCAGGTTGAGGCTCTGGGTCCTCCGTGTCCCCCGGTGCCGACTCCGCGCCACTAGAGTCTCCTGCCAAGGCTTGGACTATCCCTGGTGAGGGGGGGCATGGTTCTGCAACATTAACACAAGATTTATTCATTTCATTATTTTTTTGCTTACGTTTTTGGGGTTCCCGTCTGAGCCTCGTTTGGGCTTCCGTCCACAGCATTTGGAAGGCCGGGCAGTCCCGACCTATCAGGACGGGAACTGGAAGTGTCTTGATTACTCCCACCTCAAGAGTAAACGTACCCTTAGTGTTTGTCAGCTTTACAACCATGGCTCGGGGTTCAGGAATCCTCGTTGCTGCCTAGGTGGATTAACAATTCTATGGGGTGGGCCAGAGTGAGGGTTGGCTGGCGTAGGACCTTTTTGGTGAGACCCACCTGGTCTGGCGGGGACAGAAGCGATAGGCTCTTTACGGGTAGGGCGGAACATGTCTGAAGCTCCACTGCTTCTACTCTGATGTCGTTGTTAATTTTTTGTGGCAGATTACTTTTTTAGCCTCATAAGGCAAAGCTCTTAGATAACGGTCCATAACAAGAGTCTCTATAATGTCTGTGGGGCTGCTCTTGTCTGGTTCCAGCCACCTTTTCATCACACATTAATTCATGCATTTGGGAACAGGGAGTTACTCCATTTTGAAAGGTCCAGTTATGGAACCGTTGAGCCATGCTAAATTTAGTCCACCCATGGCAGCTCAGTATCTCTCCCTTTAACTGGTCATAGTCTTGCTCAATACTGGCTTCTACATCTTGATAAGCTTTAAGTGCCTCACCCGATAGAAAAGGCGCCAGGAGTTCAACCCACTGGGTCTTTGGCCACTCCTCCCGAATGGCTGTAGCTTCAAACACATGAAGGTAAGCTTCCACATTGTCCGTCTCTCCCAGTTTCGGGATGAAGTCAGCAGCTTTGGGTTTTGACCTGGGTAACTGTTGAAGTCCTGCTCCTTCAGTTGGTTGGCCTTTATTTGCTGTTGCAACAAGGCTGCCCCGATGTCTTGCTGGGCCCTCTGGCTCTCCACCAGCATATGCACTAGTTGCTCCATTTGGGTTGGGTGGTCGTTTGTGTGAAGTTCTGCAAAAACTGAGTCTAAGCTTCAATATCTTCCATCCTAATCATCAGCACTTAAGCCCCAGTGCCCACATTCTCCACCATCTGTAACGTCATGATAGGTCACTAGAGTAGGGTGGGGTGGTGCAAGGGAAACAAACAAAAACAGACAAAATCAAAAGGTTCTCAGAATAAAATCACATTTTATTCTTATTCGGCTAGGCCACTCAGGGAAGTCTCTTTATCAAAAATCAAAAACAAACAAACAAAAAGCGCCCAAGCGGAGATAATAGTTCGTTAAGCAGAACTATATTAGACAAAAACTCAATTTAGAGTGTCCTTGGCTTTTCTCCGACACCCAGGTCTTCTTCAGTTCAAATCCTCCTCACTCTGGTTCGGAACTTTCCTCCATGTAGGTCTCGGCGCTCCTTCACGCCGTGTGCTCTCTCTCATCTCCTCTCCTCCAGCAGCTCTCTTAAGTCCGGCCTCAATCAGGTGGCCAAAACACCCACAACTGGGTGAGTGGTGCGGCCTTCTGGGAGCCGTAGTTGTTGCCCCCGGCGGCCATCTTGTAGTGTGGCTGCTGATCCTTAAAGGGGAACTAGCACCCATCTACCACCTGGCCCCGTGTGATGCCACAATTGTTAAGTGCAGCCGTAAGAATGCCTCAGCACCGCGTTAATCAGAGAACAAAGAACCATTCACCATAATGCTGAGATCAGACTACATCTTTTGAGATGGTCACTAAGTCAAATGAGGCGACCATCATGATGTTGTGAATTATATTCTTGACCCTTCCACGTGACGTGGCACAGTAATAATGAAATAATAATAATAATGCATTCTATTTGTAACGCATTTTTCATTAAAAAAATCTCAGAGTGCCACAGAGCCAGTACATAGTAAAAAACACAGTAAAAAAACATAGTTAAAACAAACTACTGTATAATAAAAGAACTAGTAAGCATAAAAAACAGTGAATGAACAGAAACACAAAAGAAATAACTGACAGTGATTTAGGTCAGAAATGCCTTCCTGAATAAAAAGGTTTTTAGGCCAGTACATATTGGGCCCAACCAATCAGAGCTTAGACAGCACCAACGACATCAATCCCCTTTTCTTTTAACACATTTGTTCACAGACATATTGGTCAGTGTCTCAAAACACGTTGTGGAAGTTGTCACGAGGTGAGAGAAGGCAAAACATCTAGGGAGGGTAAAAACAGCAATCATTGTTGTTCCTAACACCACAAACATGATTTGCTGAGCTGATATCTGTAGTGTTGACTCTATGGTTTTACATGTATGTCAAGCTTAACATGTAGATGACCTCCCAAAACAAAAAACCAACTTCAGAGTTCCATCAGAAAAGCCGACCTCATCTCAAATGGGTATGCTACATTCCTATGCAACTATTTAGCATTAGCACAATTCTGTCACATGAATTGTTTCAAACACAATACTGATACGTGTTTTTCAGACTGTTTTTCAATATCTGTGCATAGCAACTTCAGAGAAAGATGCAGGTCATGATTGTATGACAAACCAGCACACACCTCAAACTAGGACTCTAGCCTCAGGTTTGGACGTGTTAGATTACACTCGTTACACGCATACAGTGTCTTTTCAAAATAACTTTTCAATGTGACTTAGTTATTAGGTTTTTAGGTTTAGGCAAGAAAACTACTTGTTTGTAGTTTAAGATTGTGGTTTGGGTTAAAATAGCTGTGCTTGTTACAAAACCAGTGTCAGTTAAGCATGTGAGTAACTTAACAAAAGTGAGGCCAAATAAGTCAATCTTAACCTTTGGGTGAAAGGGTTATGTTTGTTTGACCTAACCTACTTGTGTGGGTTAATAAAAAGATCATTGTTTGGGTTCAAATTAACTTTCCGTCAGAAGGCGCTGAAGCTAAACTCACACATGCACATCATTTGAGGGGACTGAATTATGTTTGTGTGTGTAAAGGATTTCAGCAGAGGTTTATTGATCTTCTGTGTGCCGTCTGAGAGGCATCACTGGCTCATTGAGCAAAGGGTGTCCAGGTCCCAGCTGACTGCAGTGTTAAACTGTACTTACACTCTGCTCCTGTGGGAGGACATTTTGCCGATGCACAGTGTTTCCTGCAGCCGTGCCTATAACCAAAATGTCATATTGACTGGACTTTTCTGTGAGCCAACACATAAAAAGAGAGGTAGGGATTTAAAGGGGAGAGGGAGACTTTCCTACGTATTGGTTTCCTCCCCCTCTCTACTCCCTCAGTGTCCAGTGGAGCAGCTCAGTGACCATGAGCCCACTGACGATGTCTCACCTCTCTTTGCATGTTGGACCTCAGTCACTCTGACAGAGCTGCATCTTCAGCCTGCACTAACTCTGACTGCACATTGGATTTGGTTCTATAAACATTTGTACCACAAAAACAGGAAACCAGTGAAAAACACTTTCTATATTTTATACATTTAGCTGATAAGAGTGACATCAAGAATCCTTCCCAAATCAGAAGATTTAACCTGTTGCCACTCTACTATAAACCCTGGAAAGAACTCAACAGTTGAGGTAACGCGTCTAACTGTTCCGGTGTTGCATCGTGCTCGTAGCACTTCAGCTCATCAGCTTCTCCATTTCTTCCAGATTGCTGGTGTCAATCTTCGTGATGCTCGACACAAAATGGAATGCATTTTGAGCAAAAGTTGCATTTGCTTTGATAGTTTTTTATTGGATTAAATCCAAAGTGGCAGAAACAGAGATTACTTCGCTGGGAGGAGGGTGTGCGGCAGCTCTGGAAGACACACCTTCAGTTAGCGATTAGCTGTAGCAACTTGAATCCAGCCAGTCCAAACCCCAGTGCTAGGGGTCTGATCCCCGGGGTCCGCCACGACTCCCCGCCGGATCAGCAAACTTTCTGTTACACAGCTTATAGCCATTGGAAGCACCAGGGCTAGCTGGTTAGCATGCTCATGTCAGTAGAGATCTCTGTCTTTGACAGAACGTCAACAATGTAACCTCTTGACATTCTGCTGATCGAGTTGGTTCATTTATTGAATGTTTTAAACTAAAATTCTGGTCACATCTTATTCATTGCCCCTTTTAAAATCCATGCTTGGTTGGCTGTTGAGTTCTGGTATCTTACAATGGGCATATCATTTCTGACCATTCAGTCACCATTCATTCTAACAATTCATCTCCTAATCATGTCCATGACACATCTTTTCCTCTCTGCCATGTTGCAGGCATTCGGCCAGGCCTACTCCACCCAGCGTAAGGTGGCAGAAGATGGGGAGACCAACGAGGAGACGCTGCTGCAGGAGTCTGCCACCAAGGAGGCCTACTACATGGGCCGTCTCCTGGAGCTCCAGTCGGCGCTGAAGCACAGCCGAGCCACTGCCTCCAACGCCCAGGCTGACAGCGAACACCTGAGCACCCTGCTGCAGGAGCTGAGGGAGGTAGAGTACAGCGCTTCATATCATTCCAGAGCCCGCTGGGTTCTGCTGAGCTGTGGCTGTGACTCAGTGGATAGAGCGGGTCGTCCTACAATCACAAGGTTGGGTCCTTCTGTCTACATATCTCCATGAGCGGGACACTGAACCCTAAGCTGCTCCACTCACAGCAGCCACTCCTAAGATGCTTAGAATGAGTTTCATGCATGTGTGTAAGCAGGTTACCTTCTTGTACAACAGGTTTGAAATTTAGATTTGTCATAACAAGAGCTTTTTCATGGGAAACAAACAGGAAATTGTACATTGGGACTGAGTTTTAGCTGACCACTTGGTTTCCTATGGAAGTGCATTGTAATGAGTCCTTCCAGCAACTGTGTCATGTAATACCCAGCCACTTCCATACTGATTCCAGTCATTTTCTTGGGTTATCTGTGGCATAAACAGCATGCAGCTCCAGCTCTATTTCCCTGAACTGTCTCAGCAGAGCAATGAGATGTTGGAGTTGCAGCGCAGCCGGATGCGAGAGGAGATCAGGGAGTACAAGTTCCGAGAGTCTCGGCTGCTTCAGGACTACACCGAGCTGGAGGAGGAGAACATCTCTCTGCAAAAACTGGTGTCGACTCTCAAACAGAATCAGGTACAGATGATTCACACATGGACGTACACATTACGACCCTGCAATAGAGACTGAACCAGAAGAAACTAAGCTACTCAACAAAGTTCGAGATTTGTTAGTAGTAATAGTTTTTCCAATGTGGACATTTCTATTCAACAATGTCACACAGGTTTCTATCCAACAATGTCACACAGGTTTTAGTGCTTCCCCTACAGTGTTGTTCTCCTCTCATCTACATAGTATTTAAGCAACAGGGACACATTTAAAGCCACTATGTGTCACTAATTTGAAAAGTGGTATTATCACTACTCGCTCAGCTGAACATGGGTCATACCCCTCTCCACCCAATGTCATTTGGATTCCACACCAACCACTAAACAGTAACAGCAAACTGCTATTTTCTTGAAAATGTAAAAATGCAAAATCAGATAAGGGTGATGAAATAGGTGCAGGTTTTCTTGATTTAAAGAAGGCATTTTGATACAGTAAACCATGAGATACTCCAGTCAAATCTATTCTCTTTTAATTTGTCCTCTGATGCTATTAAATGGATGAAATCATATCAAACAAACAGGAAGCAAAGTGTACGTATTGGTTATACTCAATCAACATACCTTAACTGCAACATTGGTGTTTCTTAGGGATCAATACTGGCCCCATTTTGTTTAGCTTGTACATTAATGACCTGCCTTTAGTCTACATTCAAATTCTGATGACACTGTTCTTTATGTACATACTAAAAACAAACAACAAGCAGCAAACAAACTAACCGTAGCCATGGCTCATGTGTCAGATTGGTTGAGCAACTCATGCTTACACCTGAACATAAACAAAACTGTCTGTATGTTCTCTAGGAAACCCAGAGAGCCTTACCAACCTGGCCAAAAGGTAGCCGGTACTATCAAATTCAACCTGGCTAACTTTAGGCATATAGGACCATACCTATACAACAGAGGCAGCCAAACTCTTTATGCATGCTGCTCTTCCACATTACATTCTGTTTACAAGCTGGTCACAAGCAAGCATGACAACTCTCAAACCTATGTTGAATACACTTATTGTAAGTCGCTTTGGATAAAAGCGTCTGCTAAATGACTGTAATGTAATGTATTGAGTCCCTTTACAAACAAACACTAAAAACACTTGACCAAAAGGACAATTGCTATCACCATTGTCATACAGTTCAAAAGCACAATCTATTTAATTTTGAAGCTACTTTTGAAAAGTATTTATCTATTTTTATGTATTGTATCGTATTGTGCTGTACAGTGTTTTCTTTATGGTGTACTATAGTGTTTGCTGTTGAATTGTACTGATATTGTAATAACCTGCCCAGGGACTACAGACAAAGGTTAGCCCTGTATCTAACTCTTTACACACACACATTTACATTGAGGGGGAAACTGAAATGTTGATTAATGTGCACTATCCCTGGTAAATAAATAAATAAATAAAATAAATTTAAAATAAAAAACAACCAAAAAAACAGTATACACATTCCTTTACACTTTAATTAGCATCTCTTTGTGAATGTGTCACTGTTCTGTTTGCATGTTGCACAAAGCAATTATGGCTGCGCCATTTTTGAAAAAACTATCTAATTGCGATTACTTTGACTGATATTGCAATTGCAATATGATTTGTGATATCAGACAGAGTGATTCTTTTTACATAATTATTCTCATTTTCATTGGAAAACAATCAAATGATTATGGATTTTTTTTGCAGGGATCTGTAACAAACAGATAAGTTTTCTTAAATCTGTAGAATATATATGTGTAGGCCAGGAATATCTCCATATTCAATTCAAAATGGTGTTTCGACATTTCGCCTTTAACAAATATTGTGCCTCCTGTAATTTGAAATTTGCAGTATAAAATTCAGATAAAACCCTTTACCAGACACACATTTCTATGTTGGTTTCAAGCTATTCTGCTGATCGACAGTTTATGGCTTTAATGTGCAAAAGAACATACAGTAGCAGTGCACTATCATAGGCAAAGAAGTATAAGACTGCAAGATAGCGAACTTGGATGTAAACTTAAAGCAAGGAAATACAGGCCTCAAGGGTTTAAACACAACTTTGTTTATTTACGAGAAAGCTCAACAGGGCACAGATGATACGACCCAAATTGTGACTTAAAGTTTCAAATGTAGATTAGGAACTTCATGGTCAGTGATACAGTACTTTGGCTATCAGTCTCTTGATATCATCCCATTGATATCTGTTGCTACATCCTTGGTTCAGGTGGAGTATGAAGGTCTCAAGCATGAGATCAAGGTCCTGGAGGAGGAGACAGAGCTCCTCAACAGCCAGTTACAGGACGCGCTGCGTTTGAAGGACATCTCAGATGCCCAGCTGGAGGAGTCGCTGGAGTCTCTGAAGAGCGAGCGTGAGCAGAAGAACCACCTGCGCAGGGAGCTGGTCCACCACCTCAGCATGTGTGATGTGGCCTACACTGGCAGTGCCCACCTGACCTTCACCTCTGCTCCGCCAAGTGGCACCGCCACACCAACCACTCTGCTCTCCCCAAACGCAGAAGAGTCAACAAGGTACACGTAAAAATCATTTGGAAAGAAAACGTAATGTTTTCATTGATAGTGATCACATGAGGGTGTACTAGTCTCTTTCAAATACATTGTCTTAATAATTAGCTTTGCTTTGTTTTCGAGGAATAGTAATTCAATTAAATTTCATTTATTTAGCACAATTTCACAATAACAATCTGTACATCATACGACATCCTCTGTCCTTGGATCCCCGCATCAGGAAAGGAAAAACTCCGCCCCCCCCAAAAAAGAAGAAACCTCTGGCAGAGCAACAGAAGAGATTCCTCTCCCAGGATTTTCAGAAGGGAAATAGATATGTGTACAGAAGGAATAAAATAATAATAAGACACAATAAATCCATATGATGTCCCACGTAATGTAATGTAATGATACATATAATGAGTAGTAATAGCAGTAGTAGCACTAATAATAGCAGAAATAATAATAAAAAAAGGATTACTATAAATAATAACAGCAGCAGTGGATATAATATGAAGGATAATAAAAGTAGTAATAGTGAATGTAATAGTAATTTACATATGACTGATAATAATATTAATAGTAGGAGTGGGGATTTTAAATTAAAGCAGTGCAGAGAAGCTAATACAGGAGTAATATGATCTCTTTTCTTAGTTTTTGTTAGAACACGAGCTGCAGCATTCTGAATCAACTGGACAGATTTAAGAGATTTATAAGAGCAGCCTGACAATAAGGAATTTCAATAATCTACTCTAGAGGTAACAAATACATGAACTCATTTCTCTGCATTGCTTTGAGACAGGATGTGCCTGATTTTTGAAATGTTATGTAGGTGAAAAAAGGCAGTCCTAGAAATTTGTTTTATCTGAGAGTTAAAAGACAAATCCTGATCAAAGATAACTGAAATTCTCTACGGTTCTGCTGGATGCCAGCGCAATGCCATCTAGAGAAACTATATCGTAAGATAACTGATGTTGGAGGTGTTCTGGGCCTAGTAGAATAACTTCAGTTTTGTCTGAGTTTAACATCAGGAAGTTGCAGGTCATCCAGGTTTTTATGTCCTTAGGACTGCTTGAAGTTTAACGAACTGGTTAGTTTTGTCTGGCTTGATCGATAGATATAATTGAGTATCATCTGCATAACAATGAATGTTAGAGTGTTTTCTGATAATATTGCCTAAAGGAAGCATATATAAGGTGAACAAGATTGGTCCAAGCACAGAACCTTGTGGAACACCATGACTAACGTTGGTCTTCATCGAGGTTTCATTGTTTACAAACTGGGATTGATCTGATAAATAGGACTTAAACCAGTTTAGTGCTTTTCCTTTAATACCAATCAAATGTTCTAGTCTCTGCAACAGGATGTAATGATCAATGGTGTCGAACGCAGCACTAAGGTCTAACAAGACAAGAACAGAGACTAGTCCTTTGTCTGATGCAATTAGTAGGTCATCAGTTATTTTACCAGAGCTGTCTCTGTGCTATGATACTTTCTAAATCCTGACTGAAAATACTCAAATAAACTATTGTTACGTAGAAAGTCACACAACTGATTCACAACTGCTTTCTCAAGGATCTTAGAGAGGAAGGGAAGGTTAGAGATCGGTCTGTAGTTAGCCAAAACCTCTGGATCGAGAGTGGGCTTCTTAAGAAGAGGTTTAATTATAGCTACTCTGAAGGACTGTGGTACATGGCCTGTTAATAAAGACGGATCATGAACTTTATTAATCCCCTAAGGCATCTTGATTTTAGTAAAAACAGACAAGAGAGACAAGAACAAGCAAAAGAGCTGTTTTTAAATAACAAATAACAGCACGGTGTGTGAGGGATTGAGTCAAAATTAACTTCAGTGTGTGTGTCTTCATGATAATGAAGGAACATGTCACCAGAGCAACAGTGAGGCTCACTGATGTGTTTTCATTTGAGCTCTATGGCTCAGAGACAGAAGAGATATCCGGCTTTGATACACACATTATACTTGTTAGTAGATCCATTCACTGTTGGTTTGAATCTGCACATTTGTTGACAATAACAAAATATCTTTGAATATTAAGCTATGGACATTTTGTAAATAGGCCGTGTTGGTTGATAATGGTATAATTGTACTAAAGGTCCTGTGTGTAAAATGCTGTGGCATCGAGTAGTGAGGTTGCAGAGTAGAACCAACTGAGCACCTCTCAGCTCACTACTCCCTTTCCAAGTGTGTCAGTCAATGACGGTGGTATCCAGATGAATGTAAAAACATGACAGGTTCTGTTTGGTTTGTCCGTTCCGGGCTACTGTAGATATATGCAAGGTGGTGGACCCCGATTGAAGAGGATTATATTCCATTTCTGTCAATAGATACTCCTAAATCCTTCACATTGTGCTTTTAAGTGCACTCTTGTACTCTACTTTTGGTACTGGTTGTATCTCTCTAACTTTCTATACTTAACGTGTTGGAAGCAGAGTGAATCTCCTGGATTTTAAAATGTTGTACTCTACTCTGATCCATTAGGCTTAACGGCCACCAGGTTGGGATTGGAGCAGGGACACCTGCAGGGTCGGTAACCAGAGCTAATGGAGAGTGCCGAGGCCCGGGTCGGAAAGCCGAGGGGGCGGTGCCATCTGATCTCTTCAATGAGATGAATCTGACAGAGATCCAGAAGCTCAAGCAGCAGCTGATAACTGTGAGTCCACTCTCTGATCAACTATGTACAAATACCTGGGTACGAAGTTTTTAGTAATGATTCAAAAAATGTCACTGATTCTGGAAGTCTCAGATGCCTGGTCACCTCTAGTCTTGAGCTTGACTTAGGAACAGCCAGCAGGGCCTTGCCTGAAGATCTGATGCTGTGTTCTGATCACAACCATTCAGTCCGATTATTTATTCATGATTTAAGTATTTTTTAGTTTTATAGTTTACTTTTTTATTATATTTGCTGTTTAATTGCATATTTATCACACCTTCTTTTACTGATACCTCTTTTTGTTGCACTATCCCCTTTGCTGTCCCCACTGTGGGGCCAATAAAGGATGATCTTATCTTATCTTATCTATAAGAGAGCAATAAGACCATGACAACTCTAAATATGATTCATAAAATCATAGATTCAAAAACTCTAAAACTGACTTCTACCAGTGAGGAGTCAAGGACGTGACGTCATAAAAGAGCTTTTTTTGAGATCAGGATGAGAGAGGAAAGAGCAGAGAGAGAGGGCACTGTCTGAGACTCCACCAGTTTCATATTTGCCAAAGACTCTTTTCTATCATGGGTATGGACTTCCATCCATCCATCCATTTTCCTTCGCTTATCCGGGGTCGGGTTGCGGTGGCAACAGGCCAAGCAGGCTGACCCAGACCTCCCTCTCACCGGCAACATGTTCCAGCTCATTCAGGGGGAGATGTAATCTCTCCAGCGTGTTCTGGGTCTTCCCCGGGGTCTCTTCCCAGTTGGACGTGCCTGGAAAACCTCCAGTGGGAGGCGTCCAGGAGGCATCCTAATTAGATGCCCGAACCACCTCAGCTGACTCCTTTCGACACGAAGGAGTAGCGGCTCGAGTCCAAGCTCCCTCCTGATGACCGAGCTCCTTACCCTATCTCTAAGGCTGAGCCCGGCCACCCTATGGAGGAAACTCATTTCGGCCGCTTGTAGCCGCGACCTTGTCCTTTCGGTCACGACCCAGAGTTCGTGACCATAGGTGAGGGTAGGAACGTAGACCGAGTGGTAAATTGAGAGCTTTGCCTTCCGGCTCAGCTCCCTCTTCACCAAGACGGTCCGGTGCAGCGCCTGCTTTACTGCTGCAGCTGCACCAATCCGTCTGTCGATCTCCCGCTCCATCTTACCCTCACTGGCAAACCATCCGACGGCTCAGGAAGGGAAAGCAGGGCTTACCCCAGGCTGTTCTCAGCAGGGGGGGGGAACTGCTAACCCGGACGGAGGACATCGTCGGGCGGTGGAAAGAGCACTTTGAGGAACTCCTAAACCCGACCAACATGTCCTCTGCAGAGGAGGCAGCGCCTGAGGACCTAGGGGGAGGCTCACTCATATCCCTAGCAGAGGTCGCTGAGGTAGCCGCTTCCCCGGTGAGAGGGAAGTCTGGGTCAGCCTGCTTGGCCTGCTGCCACCACGACCCGACCCCGGATAAGCGGTGGAAAATGGATGGATGGATGGATGGAGTTGGTGTAATAGATCAACCAGTGGAACGTGCATGTGTGGTCATTTTTTTAAGCACGTCACTGTGAACTTAGCATATTCATACCACATGTTATTCAATGTTTGGCTAAATGGTTTTACAATTCATTTCTTTAATCTAGTGGTTGCTGGTTTTGGTTCTTCTCACTATAATTGTTTGCATTTGGTTGTACATTCTTTGGTTGCCATGGTTTCTCATGCATACATTATTAGGAAACATATTATTGCACAGAAGAGCAGAAAACACATTGAACATTGTCTAGCTGAAATTCAGTTCATTCAGGTGTGAAGTGATGTCAATCAAAAACCATAATATAATATTTTTCTCAAATAAGATAAGTTATTAAAACCATTTGTTTCAGCTCTATTCCTCTCTGTTAACATCATTGTTTAGAAGTGAATTAACGTGTTAGAATTATGATCATATTGATTAGATTGTTTGTTGTCTGTGACTTCATTTTGGATGCGAGTAAAATAAAAGCGTTCCGTCAAAATTTAATAATTCTCAATCATCTATCGGTTTTAGGTCCAGGGTTCGCCTATTGGTGACTGTACTGTATTCAGCCAACTGTTTCAGTGAAAACGCAACGTATTGTAATTTCAAAAAAAATTAAAGCTTTAAAGCATTGATCGGGCCCTCGCGTATTTACGGACGTCGAGGGTACTGGCAGGAGTCTGGTTGATGCGGCCATGCATTTCTGTGACCATCATACACTGTGTGCACGAGTTAATGGTTATTTCCTGTGTCGACCAATGGCGTAGCCAGGTCATTTTGCCAGGTCTTAAGCCTCGAATGTTTTGAGTGTACCTCCGAATACAATCATAACTGTCAGCCTGTAAAAATCGACAAAAAACTGAATGTGTGTGAACGCGCTTCAGTTTGTGCAGGTAGCTCTGACAATCACTGCTGAGTGACTCAAAGCTTGAAGAGTCTAGGAGAAATAGGAGAATATATAGTTCCATGTGGAGAAAAAACATCTTTTTATCAAGAAATAAAGCCAAATTAAGCCAAAAGGTGAGCCAATGTAGAATAATCTATCATATAAATTAGGCTGGGTGCAGTTTGATTTTATTAAACAAACTTCACGTTGCATGAAATTACTTTACATTACGGCCTGGCTCCAAAACAAACAAAAACAGTTCAATTTACTATTAATGAAAACTGCACGTACAAGCCCGATTTGGAAACCTTTTTCATCCAATTTCTGCTCTCCAAACATCGTAGTTTGTACATATTTAGATCAGAGAAGTCTTTTTTCTGGTGGTGTGCCCACGAACCCTTTTAATAAGTTCAGTGTTTGGGCCGCTGTAATTATAGAATCCTGCTAACGGCCATAATTATCAGTAGGTGGCGCTATGACTACCAGTTAATACTGACATGCAGAAGTCCTAAAGTCATGACAGTCATCAAGCAGGTCAAGTTTGGGACAGTTTTGACAAAGTACAGTCGAGTTACAACAGCTTGATGGATGATGGCGAACCATGTGAAATGGCTGCCACACCATATCCACATTGTTCGATGAAACCTCAAGCTTTTAGTAACTTTTATTCGCTAAGGTCTTTAGATTGTTCTGACCAAATTCTAAGTTGATCTGATTAATTCCCTAGGAGGAGTTCGTTAAAGTACAGCACCTGGAAATTGCAAAAAAAAAAAACGAGAAATTAATACAAAATTCAAAATGGCTCACTTCCGGTTGGGTCTAGAGCATAGACCCCTAAGACTTTTATTTAAGTATACTTGTGATACATCTGCTTCCCAAATTTTATACATCTAGGTGAAAAGTACGTAATTTTATAGGGGGCGCTATCGAGCCCACTTGCCACTCTGAAGCATTAAAATCACATCAGATAACTACATTCAGGATATTAAATATGTGTGCCATGTCTGTTTATGTTTTGAGCATTTTTAGCCCCTCAAAAAGACCTTCGTTTTTCATGGCGAAGAATGCGTAACTTTTCACTGACAATGTCTCCAGAGCATACTGACCAGATCTGAAGTCAATCAGGATCAAATCTCTAGGAGGAGTTCGTTAAAGTACGGAGCCTTGAAATGGTCAAAAAACATCATACAATTCAAAATGGCCAACTTCCTGTTTGGTTTAGGGCATACCTCCAGGACATTTTGTATGTCCAATCAAGTTACACATACCTACCAAATTTCATACAGCTAGGTGAAACACAATGTTGGGGCTACTCAATAGGGGGCTCTATTGAGCCAATTTTTCATACTGCAGTTGGACACCCCAATCAGACTGCAATTTTCACCACGTCTTGCTTGCGTGCCAAATTTCAAAATCTTACCAGTATCCCAAGCACCTCCTTTCACCTTGAAAGACATAGAATAAGAATAATTGTCACAGTTCAGCTCCACACCCTCCTCATCAGTCTAACTCCCTTCACCTGTTCACTCCTGCCTCCCAGACACACATTGCCAGATTGTCCTTTGCTTTTCGATGCCATACTCTCCAGTACTCTATCACGGACTGATCTCCTGTTACCAACCCTACCTGCCCCTGTTCTACCCGTCTCGTCTGACTCCCGGTAAACCCACCAGCCTTTTGTTTCTGACTGATTAACTCTGCCTGCTGTACCTGCAAGTTTGTAATAAAAGCCAACGATCCCTGGAATCTTGTGTGTTGCATTTGGGTCCATATACAACCTGTTACATTACAATCTGGTCAGTCATGGACCCAGCACACACCCCTGCACCATGGAGCCGTTTCGAGAGGATCGAGGGGGCTCTCTAGCAGCATGAGGCACTGATGACCAACATTGCCGCTGAGACACAGTCAGCAGCAGCCCAGGAGCAGGCTTTGGCTGCGTTAGCCGCTCAGGTCCAACAGCTAACAGCAGCCCTGACCCAGCATGCAGTCTCAGCTCCTCCTCCTGTCCCTCTGACGCCTGCTCCAGCACACGTGTGGGAACCACAGAGTGCTGCAACCCATTCGTCACAAACTGCACCATCTTGTTTTTCCCTGCAGCCCTACACGTTTGCCTCGGAGGAGGCTAAGGTAGCCTTCAGCATCAACCACCTGACAGGCAGGGCACGACTGTGGGGCACTGCTGAATGGGAGAGGCGCATGCCAGCCTACTCTTCCTTCCTGGCTTTTTATGCGGAGCTACACAAGATGTTCGGGGCGGTCTCCAAGGGCCCTGATCCTACCGAGGGACTTATGGACCTGCGTCAGGGAAACCGGACAGTTGCAGACTATGCCATTGAGTTTCACACGAGAGCACGCCTTAGCGACTGGAACTCTGCAGCTCAGTGTGATGCTTTTATGGCTGGACTAGCTGAGTATATTAAAGTCTCTTTTGATTTGCCTTCCGACCTGGATGGCTTAGTTGAATTGACTACCCGAGTGCACAGACGCATCCAGGCTAGTCGACAGGAGTGACGCAAGGGGGAGACAGATCGCCGCTCTTCCACCCGGCCTCGAGGTCCTCCATCAGCTACCAGCGTCCCCCCAGGGCTTCAACCTGGGGGCGTTGAACCCATGCAGGTTGGGGCGCACCAGTCTCACTCCAGAGTAGCGTGAGCCCGCCACCGGGAAAATCTCTGCCTGTACTGTGGCCAGGCTTGTCACTTTATATCCCAGTGCCCAGCAAAAGGCACAGCACATCAGTAGTAGGGGACGTACTGGTGAGCCGAACCACAAGACTCCCCCAAACAAAGACCCCTGTGCCACGTTCAGCTTCTGCTCACGAACGGATCCCAGACCCTCACTACTTTCATTGACTCTGGCGCTGATGACAGCATCATTGATGAGGACCTAGCCCTTCAGCTGGGTATCGACCGGGTACCCCTGCCATGCCCTGTTCCTGCCAGTGCCTGGATGGTCACCTACTGGGGACAGTGACTCACCAGACCATGCCAGTCCGTATGCTCCTGTCTGGTAACCACCATGAGACCATCCGGTTTCTTATCATGCGGTCACCCCAGCATCCATTAATCCTGGGGTACCCTTGGCTCCGCCGCCATAACCCCCACATAGACTGGGCAACAGGAGCCATCCTAGGGTGGAGCTCATCCTGTCACCTGATTTGCCTGAAACAAGCTCCTGCACCCCAGCAGTCAGACTGTTCCAGCTCTGCTTCAGACCTCTCAGGGGTGCCTACTGAATACCATGACTATCGGGAGGTATTCAATAAGGCCAAGGCCTCATCTCTGCCTCCACATCGCCCATACGATTGTGCCATTGACCTGCAACCAGGCACCACTCCACCCAGGGGTCGCCTGTATTCTTTATCTGCACCTGAAAGAGAGGCCATGGAGACGTACATAAATTCCTCTCTAGCTAATGGGATCATCCATCTCTCTTCTTCACCTGCTGGTGCGGGGTTCTTCTTCGTGGGAAGAAGGACAAGTCACTGAGGCCTTGCATTGACTACAGGAGCCTCAACGACATTACCATTAAGAACCGCTACCCACTCATCTCTTCTGCCTTAAGTGGCTGCGGGGAGCTACCATCTTCACCAAACTAGACCTGCGCAATGCCTATCACTTGGTCCGGATCCGTGAGGGTGACGAGTGGAAGACAGGTTTCAACACCCCCACTGGACATTACGAGTACCTGGTTATGCCCTTCGGCCTCACCAATGCCCCAGCCGTCTTCCAGGCCCTGGTGAATGATGTGCTGAGAGACATGTTAAACAGGCAGGTGTTCGTCTACCTAGACGACATTTGGATTTTCTCCAGGTCCCGAGAGGAGCACATTCACCATGTCCAAGCAGTCCTTCAATGCCTCCTTAAGAATTCTCTGTTCGTTAAGGCAGAGAAGTGTGAATTCCAATCCTGATCTGTCTCTTTCCTGGGGTACATCGTGGGACAGGGGATCGTGCAGATGGATCCTGCCAAGGTGTCAGCTGTTACGTCCTGGCCCGTCCCTGACTCACGTAAACAGCTGCAACGATTCCTGGGGTTCGCTAATTTCTACCAGAGGTTCATCCGCGGCTATGGTACCGTGGCTGCCCCACTCACAGCCCTTACTTCATCCAAAGTGCTGTTCCAGTGGTCACCCTCGGCTGAGGAGGCCTTCCAGAACCTTAAGGCCCTGGTTTCCTGCAACCTCTGCTTGTGCCACATCGGCCCTGGTCCTTGGACTTTGTTACCGGTCTACCACTGTCCAACAAACACACCACCATCCTGACAGTGGTAGATTGGTTCAGCAAGATGGCCCACTTTGTGCCCTTGCCCAAGCTCCCCTCGGCCAAAGAGACTGCTGAGCTGGTCCTGCTGCATGTCTTTTGGCTCCATGGTCTCCCCACTGACGTGGTCTTTGAGCGGGGACCTCAGTTTACTTCAGTGTGCTGGAGGGAATTCTGCACACTCATTGGGGCCACAGCCAGCCTGTCATCTGGATTCCACCCACAATCTAACGGCCAGACTGAGCAGGAGATGGAGACGGCTCTACGGTACTTGGTGTCCTTGCCTCCATCGTCCTGGTCCCAGCAGCTCATGTGGGTGGAGTATGCCCACAACACCCTGACCACCTCTGCCACTGGAATGTCCCCGTTCCAGTGTGGCTACGGTTTTCAACCGCCACTGTTTTCGGCCCTGGACAAGGAGGTTTCCTGCCCCTCTGCCCAGGCCTTCATCCACTGTTGCCGCCGTACCTGGGCCGAAGCCAGAGTTGCGCTCCTCTGCTCAGCCAACCGGTATTCCACAGTGGCCAACTGGCGCCACTCCAGAGCCCCCATCTACCAGGTTGGCCAGAAGGTGTGGCTATCGACCCGGGACCTACCCTTGCGGGTAGAGTCTAAGAAGTTGGAACCCAGGTTCATTGGGCCATTCGAGATCCAGAAGCTCATCAATCCTGCAGCAGTGAGGCTCAAGCTGCCCCGGACCATGCGGGTCCACCCGTCATTCTACGTCTCCAAGGTGAAGCCGGTTCGAGAGTGCCCACTGGTTCCTGCTGCACAGCCTCCGCCGCCACCTCGATTCATCGATGGAGGTCTTACCTACACAGTTCGCCGCCTGCTTTGTTCCCACCGCCGTGGGAGAGGTCTGCAATACCTGGTCGACTGGGAGGGCTATGGTCTAGAAGAAAGATCCTGGGTCCCAGCTTGACACATTCTGGATGCCCCTCTCATCAGGGAGTTTCACCGCTGCCATCCTGACCAGCCCTCCAAGGGCTCTGTGCCCACTGGGGCTACCCAGCTAGACTCTGTTCCCTCTCTTCCATCTGTAGCTTCAGATGTTGGGGAGGATGAAGAGGAGCAGTCTTCTGGCCAGGACAACTCACCCACCGATGCTGAGGAGAGGATCCATATACAACCGGTTACAATAATAACAATAAATATTTGAATAACAATAGTAAGACCTATTGTTATTCAAATGTTTACTACGTCGGTGCTTGGGCCCTAATAATAAACATTAGAATAACAATAGGTCCTCCGCTCCGACTACATCGGTGCTTGGGCCCTAATAAACATTTGAAGAACAATAGGTCATACGCTCCGACTACATTGGTGCTCGGGCCCTAATAATAATAATAATAAACATTTGAAGAACAATAGGTCCTGCGCTACCGACACCTCTAAAACTCACTGATTGAAATATATGACGTCATAACTCACAGACATTAGATTGATGTTCTCATTTCCTCATTATCTCAGAAAATAGGGAAATAATTGAACGATTCCTGTGTCTGACATGCAGTGTTCAAACATCCCATCAAATTGTATGTAGAATTGTACCAAATTGTTAATATGTGACACATTTTAGTTGTGGTGTAAAAACTTGTTATTCTTTATTTTCACTGTCTGCTGGGTTCACAGTCCAGCAGTAGACTCCTCTTTAAAAAGCCAAGGCTTTTGAATAATTTACTGTAAACAATGCTGACATACAGTACCCACAATGCATCAAGCACTCTCTCAATTTATCTTCTCCTCTTTCACATTCAGTCTTGTTTCCTTTCCTAGCACCTTTCTCTCATACCTTCCCAAACTCTCACATTCAATTACTTAGTATATCAGATCATGCTCAGATCACCATGAAGCCCTGCATTGTGCTTGTTGGATACATTCTTCCATGTGTATGTGCATCTGCTTCAGTTCCTGTAGGTGTAATTCCATCCATCGCTGCTCCCTGCTGATAGGATGAGCTGCAGGAAGACCTTATTTATATCTCAGCTGCTACATTACACTATCGACCACTCTGGATGTGTTTCATAGCAGCTGTTGTTGTTGATGTCTCGGCTGCTCTGTTAAATTGTTAATGAATCCACTTTTGTGCTACAGTGTTATTTCTTTACGTAATGAGAACAAGTGGGTTTTTTATATCTTTGTGTTATAATGCAGTTTAAAAGATCTGGTTCAGTTTGTGTTTCCAGTTTGGACCTGGTTGTCTAAAGGTGGTGAAAGATGTGTTTGAGCCACATTTAACTCTTTGCCTGAGTGCTGTTCATTTGGACCTTCACTGTGCCAATGCAGTTTTCTCTTTGAAATTAATGAAGAATGACACAATGCATGTGTTTGTAACTCTCTGATGGTACGCAAATGATGGATTATGCATTAATAGCAAACACACTTTTACTACTGTTACTACTAATATATGGAAATGATAGGGATTTTTAAGTTATGTACATAATTGCATATTAAAGGAGTTTTTCTATTTACCTCAGCAGAGGAGTGTGTGTATCCTTGAGGGCTAACAAACATGACAAACATGCTTAATGCTTCCTTTGAAACCCACCTACCTCACCGATCTGTCTTTTATTGCCCTTTGCTATGTTTCTTTTGTGCATTACTGCCACTAACTGCTGATCAGGTGTGTGCCTGACATGGCAAGTCTTCGTGGAAGGAATCCTTTAATTACACATCTTCCTATATCTTTCCCATTCTGGCATGTGGCTCTTTCCTAATATAATTGCTGGAACAGTTATGACATGTCTTGGGGACTTGTTAGCCTCAGCTGCTCTGGCTACATTGAATCAAAGCTGACTCTGACATCAGCTGCAACAAACCTGTAGACTGAATCATCTTTGTGGTTACAAATTCAGTGGTCTTCTGCTTTCATCCTCCTGGAGATATCTGTCTCACTGACTGTTGTGGGCTCATGCAGATATTGTGAACATCAAGCAGGTTCCATGTGACTGAGGCAGACGTGGTGAGTAGCAGGTTAGGATGGTTCCAGTTTATCTATGAACTTCCATTAGCAGATATATGATACAGACCCAGTCCCAGAACCAGATTTCTCTCTTTGATTGTTGCAATAGATCAATTTGGGACAATTGGTGCCAACGTTCTGTAATCTGAACCCTGCCTTTGCCAAAAGTATACCTTTCAGAGGATTCAAATTACAGTGTAATAATTGAAGATGAAGCAGTAGAATGTGATTTGGACCCCAATGGTTCCAAGTCTAAATCTGATGTGTTAAATGGTATGAACCTCTAAAAAAGGTTTGAAAACTTCTAGTTTCATACCATATTTGCTGTAGTTCTCCCTAATCTTGCTGCTGCCCCTTTCAGGTTGAACGTGATAAAGTTTCACTGATGACCAGTCTGCAAGAGTCCCAGACTCAGCTCCAACACACCCAGGGGGCTCTGAACGAGCAGTACGAGAAGGCCCTCCGTCTTAGCCAGAGAATGACTGCCCTCCGCCACCTGCATCGAAGGGCACACCTAAACCAGGACGCCCACGACAGTGCCATCTCTCAGCTCAACCCTGAGGCCCTGATGGAGCTGGACAGATATGAGGAGGAAGCTGAAGAGGAAGGAGGAACTGAGGAGGATAGGAGTGAGACACTGAACAAAAGTCAGTTATTTTCATACCAGACCCCTGGTCTGGAGATCCTACAGTGCAAGTACCGTGTTGCTGTGACAGAGGTGGTGGAGCTCAAGGCGGAAGTGAAAGCCCTGCGTGACAGACTCACTCAGTGTGTAGAGGGAGCAGCCGAGGAGAAGCCAAGGCAAAGCGGTCAGCTCCAGAAGCTGGAGAGGCAGGTCGCCTCATTGCAGAAGAGCTGCCGGGAGGGACGGGAGAAGGTAAATATAATGTATAATAAAATGTCATATCGACTATAAATCGTGTCTGTTTGAATAGAATGACAAATAGTTACAGAGGTTAAGGATTTCCTCTGCTCTTCTTTTAGACGTCTAGCCTGGAGTTGGAGTTACAGGCAGCCCTGTCAGCAGCCAATGAGAGCCAGGGTGTGTTGAACTCAGCTCAGGACGAGCTGGTGACGCTCAGCGAGGAGCTTGCCCAGCTCTACCACCACGTCTGTCTGTGCAACAATGAGACACCCAACCGCGTCATGCTGGACTACTACAGGTCTGACTGTTGTTTTATTAGTAGGACACAGCAAGATTTCTAAAATTTACAGTAATTGAGCCGGCCAACGATTCACAAAATTCACAGTTCAGTTCGAGACATAGTGGTGCCACAGTTCGGTACGATTTCAATACAGCAAAATGCCAGAGAAATTTCCTGAATTTTTAAATATTTGGTTATTGGTTATATTCTGGTCTGGTAATAATGGCGATACTATCCATATTGCAACAAAGTAGCTTAGCGTAGCATGACTACCAGCACAAATGTGCCGGAGTATGAATGTTTTTCTATGGTGGTGGGAGTGACTGACAGCTCATTGCCTGTTACGTCGTGTGGGTAGCCATGTTGAGCGCAGTGACTTCATCAACAACATTATATTTCACAAAATTTAAGCTTTATTTTATTTTCCAAATGCAATAGTATTATTCCAACAAATGTTTGTAATGCATGCCGAAACGAAGGCCTCATACCGAACAGTTCAATACAAATGTGTGTATTGTTACACCCCTAATATATATATATATATATATATATATAATATTGCACACTGGTCCTTTAGCACAGAATTAAGTTTATGCCACCTGTATTTCAATATACAGTACATATTGTTAGTGTAGTCTTTGAAATCTTTTGTTCATCATTATTATTATTATTATTATCATTCATCATACATTCAGAGCTCCTGACCCTCAATCTTGAAATAGTTCTCACAAGAAATTAGAGATGGTCAATCTTGATACCAGTCTTTGTTTCACATACATGATCAGAGATTCTTCCATGAAATTGTAAATTCTTGCCTCCCTTCTTTTGAGTCGTCATGCTAGTCTTGGCATCCTGACCTTCCATATACAGGTTTTTGTTGACACCTCTACAAAACCTGCAGATAGGACCTCAAAGGGCCTCTTTTTTGCTTGAGCCCTCTGCAGTCGCACCCTTGCTGCATTAAAACAATAGTTGTCATCAACTCTAGTAATCTCAACTTCACCTGGTTCACTTCAGTTACTCCACCACAGTCTCTCTGCTGGCTGACTGTGTGTGTGTGTTTGTGTAGTTTGAGGAGCTCAGCCCCGATAGAGACCAGAGGAGATACTCGCTGCAGCGAGATAATAAATTACACCAAAACATTAAAAAGAACAGATCTAAAGCACTGGTAACGTTGGAGCTTATTAATGCTCCAGTCTTCAATAATTTAGCACCACAGTCTGTCTAATACCGAGTGTCAGTACCCATCCCGACATTTAGGTAATGTAAAAACTTGAAAAGCTCTCTCTAGAGCCAGTGTTCAGTTTGTTCGTTCTGGGCTGCTTTAGAAATATGATCACTATGGTCACTATGAATTATCAAATATTATGATACTTGTCCTCATAAGTCATTATGAAATGCTTTTTAATGTGTTATGGTTAATGTTATAAAGCCTTATGAATATGTATGAGTGCTTATCACTATGATTATAGAAAGCTATAAGCAGATTATAACACACTATAAGTGTTGTCATGACCTGGCTCTGAAGCCCTGACACTAGTAAGGGAGACGCAGACGGTTGACCAAAAGTAAAGAGTTTATTAGACATAACCAGACATCTAACTCGCAATGGTGGTGGCGAACGAGCCGTCCTCGTTGCTCCACGGGGTGATAAGAGAGCGCCGCTGGTTGCCAGGAAGGCGGAGCTTTATACTGGAGCACCAGGCCCAGGTGTCTCCAGTTAGCGATCACCACCTCTGATACTTGCTGGCTCAAAGGAACACACAAACAAGTAACCAAGATAGGGAACCATCACAGTATGTTAATAATGCATTATTGACACGTAGAAAGTGTACCAACAATTTTTTATGCAGTGCTGTTGGTCTGAATCTGGTCATAGTCTGGTTACTGGTCTGGGACAAATTTGCCTCCCGCAAGAAACATTTAAAGGCACAGTGCCTCATTCATTCAAATGGATCATCATTTATTTCAGATGCTAACAGTAGCAGGATACCACTGGCTAACAGAGCTCACTTTGTGAACAAGTTACAGAATTTCCACCTGTTTGCCAGGTGGTGGAATGATATATCAATGGTATATCTGCTGCAAATATCCACCAACATAATAACGGTTCTCCAGGTCAATAAAACCCTATTTACTTTTTTTTCCCTATCTAGAAAAGGTAGAGGGCTCCGGGGCCTCAGTGCCAGTCTCAAAGCCATGTCTTCTGACAACAGCAAAGTTCTCCTCACACCACGCCTTGCCAGGCGGCTGGCCGCCGTTGCTTCGACAACCTTAAGTCCTGGGGGATCGCGGAGCCCCTCGCATTCTCCGTCCAAGGAGCCCTTATCTGGGGAGGGAAGGGGAGAGGAGAAGGTGGGGGACAAGGAGGGCCTCCAGGTGCCATCTGAGCAGAGCCTGCCGCCCTGTACACCTCCAACCCGCTCACCCAGCATTAGTGCCTCTTCATCATCGTCATCATCGTCATCGCCTGCCCTGGAGCCAGCTGGTGAGCTGCGCAGGGAGCCCATGAATGTCTACAACCTCAATGCCATCATCAGAGAACAGGTAGAACAATTACATCCAATTTCTTCTTTTTTTCTTCCTGTTATCCTCTTATCTCCTCTTTTCCTCACCTCCTCTCCCCTCTCCTCCCCCAGGTAAAGCACCTTCAACGGGCAGTAGACAGGTCTCTGCAGCTGTCTAGACAGAGAGCTGCAGCCAGGGAACTGGCCCCTCTGCTGGACAAGGACAAGGAGAGCTGCATGGAGGAGATCCTGAAGCTCAAGTCTCTGCTCAGCACCAAGAGAGAACAGATAGCCACCCTCAGACTGGTACTCAGGGCTAACAAACAGGTGAGACACGTGATGTGCACATGTGATGAGTGCAGCTAAATGATACTGACATGCATAATCACATTTTAGAATACTCTGTGACGAAAACAATTCGTCGTTTGCCAACCGCCACTACACCTCAAAGAAGAAGAAGAAGAAGAAGCTTTCGCGTGTCTGTGGATGTTGTGCTTATGAGCGGCAGCGCTAAGTATCACGTTGTAATAATACTATGAGTGAGGAGCGGAGGACCGAGGCTATCGTTACCTGCTGCCAGGACGGAGTCATCAGAGTAGTGTAAAAAAAGTATTTCAATCGGCTCAGGCACCGAAAGGAAGCACCGAAATCTGCGTTGCATTTCGGTCCGGTAGATACCGGACGTATAGGAACCGGTGCCATATTGGCACCGCTTTTTGGTACCCAACCATATCCGGGTTATCCAATATGAGGCTTCCTGCTTTTATTCTTGGCTCCCCCTCTGCCGATTGGCCAGCCTGCAGTTGGTGCAACCCACCGAGCAGCACGACCGGCCCCCACAGGTGGAACCCAATCAACTGATTGACACAGGATAGGAGATTGAGGGAGAGAGAAAGAAGGAAGTGCAGGAGGGGACAGAACACAACACGTAACACCATCCATCCATCCATCCATCCATCCATTCATCCATCCATCCATCCATTCATCCACCCCTCCATCTCTCCATCCATCCATCCATCTCTCCATCCATCCATCCATCTATCCATCTCTCCATCCATCCATCTCTCCATCCATCCATCCATCCATCCATCTCTCCATCCATCTCTCCATCCATCCATCCATCCATCTCTCCATCCATCCATCCATCCAACCATCCATTCATCCATCCCTCCATCTCTCCATCTCTCCATCCACATCTTTACAGCACTTTGAACCAATAACAAAAGTAATGTTTCACTTTTTGATTTTGTCGCCACTGCGGTGTAAAAAAAAATAAATCATTGGATCCATATCCAATTGATAGCCTCATCCTCATTTAATTTTTCCACCAGATATATATGAAATTATCAAAATACTCAATACTCAACAGCTACCAGTGCTAGCTTTAACATTGCCTTTAGGAAATGTGTCCAGCAGTTTATAGTCTGTCTACTGGCCTACACCCTGAGACACACCAATACGGTTGATTGAAGGACTCACTTTGCTGTGACAAAGCTTTCCTCCATTGCTATTAGTTTACATTGCCTGTTTTATATGACAAGGAATGTGTGCATCGGTGACATAATGCAGAGATACAGCTAACATTGTGTACTGAGAGAATGTCAACCACTGCATGAAACAGAGCTCTGATACCTGTATCAAATTGGATTTACACTGCCACAATGATTCACAATGTACATGTTTGATGAGTCACTTGCCGTAAGCACCAAGTACTATTCATCCGTTTATATAGCTTAGTTTTCATAGCAGTGGATTTACAGTGTAGTCTGCATATGGTTAAATGTGATAGTGGGAAGTAGAAACGGGGGTAAGGAAAGTGAAATCAAAAACACAAGAATTTATGATGTGTGTAAGCATCTGTGTGTGTTCACTCAGACGGCAGAGGGGGCCCTGGCCAACCTGAAGAGTAAGTATGAAGCGGAGAAGTCCATGGTGACTGACACCATGATGAAGCTCAGGAACGAGCTGAAAGCCCTGAAGGAGGATGCCGCCACTTTCTCCTCTCTGCGGGCCATGTTTGCCACCAGGTCAGAGACGAAACAGAAGCAATTAAAGTCCACAACTCAATATTTGATTTAGATTAACCATGACTCTGATGACACTGTGTGATGTGAAACACTTTGCTTGCGGTGATGAAGCCACAGAGCAGTTCCTCTCAGCTCTACTATATCAATTAATGCTGCTTTATTTGCTATATAAAGGCTTCTCAGTTATATTCAAAAAAGCACGGAGCAGTTGTTTTTCATTTCAGCTGTTTCATTTTTCAGTGTAACGATATGTGTTAGCTACATTGTCTCTCAATCTGACAGTCAACAATCATTCTAATCTTAAGGAATAGGTTGGGAAACAAGACTATTCAAATGAGAGCTAGATGAGAAGATCAATACCGCTCTTGTGTCTGCACGGTAACCATGAAGCTACAGCCAACCACTGGCTAGCTTAGCTTAGCACAAAGACAGCTAGGCTGATGGGGGTATCAAAATCTACCCACCAGCACCTCTAAAACTTACTTATGAACACATTAGACCTAGTTTGTTCAAATGTCTTAAAACTGAACAACACATGTTAATGAGGGCTCCAGGAATAGAATAGCAATATCCCAGCAGTAAATAAAGAAGTGTATTCCCCTCTTCATGGCCTCTTTTTTTGACCATGCTTGTGGTCATTTCCACATTTGAATCTGCTCCTTTTGAACCTTTTTCAAAGGTTCAAAACCTTTTTTTTTTTTAACCTTGCTCTCTTCAGGTGTGACGAGTACGTTACCCAGCTGGATGAAATGCAGAGGCAGCTGGCTGCGGCCGAAGACGAGAAGAAGACTCTGAACTCCCTCCTTCGGATGGCCATCCAGCAGAAACTGGCCCTCACCCAGCGGCTGGAGGATTTGGCTTTCGATCAAGAGCAGACCCACCGCACCCGTGGGGGCAGGCTGAACCGCGTGAAGACCAGCACCCCCAAAGTAAGTCCCCCGGCCTTGGCTTCGGCCTCCAACACAGCCCAAGGCTCCACTTCAGCTTTGGCCCCTGTCAGCCTCCCCCTTTCAGGCCTTGCTAGTCCTATGTCAATTCTTCCTGATGATCCCACTGTGCCCCTTAGCCCATCTGTGGTCAGTGCAGCTTTGGCCTCAGCTCTCACCTCCCATACGTCACACATACCTCCTCGCAGTTCGTCATCTGCAGCTGTCCCTGCATTTGATGGCCCTCCGGCACCAGACGGCCCGCCGTGTCTGGAGGCCCCCTCCTCTGCCTCAGAGCGGACCCCGCCCTCAACCCCTCTGAAGCTGGCTCACTCCCAGTGGACCCTAGGGGTGCGGACGTTTGTGGTTGACTCCCACAGTTTCAGTGTCAATATGTCCCCCGCTCTGCCCCGTAGTTCGGGCCCCTCCAGGCACTACTCCCCAGACTCTCATACCTCTCCCCCATCCACCACCACAAGACCCACCCAACCAGGATCTGCCCCCTCCTCTCCCTACCGGTCCCCTATTCTGGGGCTCAGGCGCTCCACATGGAGCCCTTCACCCCGAACTCGGCCCTTGTCCAGCCTGACGCGTTCTTCTGTCCTCTACACTCCTTCCTCACCCTCCCCTTACTCCTCCTCCCACAGCTATTCCTCTGCCTATCACAGCTCCTCTCCTGCTTTTACCCCCTCTAGCTCCTACCTCACATCTGGCACCTCCTCCTCCTACAGCCACTCTACCAGCTACACGCCCCTCTACCCCAGAAACTACAGTTTTTACAGGCCCCGGCACTGACCCCATACTATAAACCCTTTACTATAAGGCTTTTGAAGGCCTTTCCACCAGGCTCCTTATTGACATTAAAACTGCAACTTTTCGGGGCTCACAGAGAGGAGGACAGAGTGGTTTCCTGTGCCTAAGCTTTGGCCAATGGGTTCTGAATGTTCAGTGACTTTGCTCAGGGATTTGACAAAAGGAGCACAAGTGGCCCCACCTTCCTTCTATTCTGAGACTGCTGATTGGTCCACAGGAGGACGTGAATAGAGACTTTTAAATGAGAGTTTTTAGCATTTAGGTTCTTCAGGTTGAGACCACACATGCATGAAGTGATTAAAACAGACATTCAGACATTGACTAGACATTTAGTGCACACTTTCATAGGTATGAATGAGGGGAATATGACACATTAAATACCGTCCTCTATATTCAATATAATATCCACTCTGAAGTGATTCTGTATTCACAAACACTGTAAACCACATGTCTTTCAGTGCAAGCATTGTCCTCTGTTGATTAGCTACTTGATGCCTTGATGGCTTTATTTCTTGTCCAGGGTTGTTGCCATCATCAACTCAACATGCTGTCCATCTCTAGCACCACCCAGTGTTTTATTTCTTGTATAGCCTTGTACCTAGCTATACATGATCACGTTTGGATGCTCTTCTACTGTGGACTCCCTGCCCCTTCCATATGTAAAATTGATTTGATAGAGGGTGCATGCTGTACAGAAGGTTGTGGCAGGGAAGAATTTACGAGAAGGAGAGCACTCAAACATGGCATATGACTGAATACCATAATCTAGTACAAGGTACCATTGTGACTCTCAGAATTAATTTTGAGTTAGCTGTGATGATTTGTCTCTATAGTCTGAAGTCTCTTTCTCCTCATTTCTTATCTGAACTTGCTTTAAAGCTTGGGATGGTAATCTTGAGAAACTAGAAGAGCACACTAGATTTAAAAAATGATCCAACCTAAAAACCCCGCCCAGTGTTGCCATTTCTTTCCAATGACCGTATGTAGGAGCACTCGTTCCAAAAGTTGATAAATCTAGTGAAGAAGTCTCCAAGTCTTCAACACTGACAGGCCTCCCTCCAAAGTCACTCCCTAAATTGATCATTAGAAACAACCAACATGGCTACAGTTAGCAGCTGGAAGACTCAGGTGAGGAACTATGAGTCCATGGACAGATTAATGGCAGGAAGGTAGCCCGTCCCATCATTACATTTCGGCCAAATTAAATGATTGGACGGGTTTATTACAGTCCTGCGAGAGCCAGAAATACTGGATTATTTCTGTTTTTGTCAGAATATTTGATTCATTGATTGCTGTCAGGATGTAATGAGAATTTCAACAAAAATATCAAACATGTAGATGAAGAAGAAGATTACCAACCCTGTCTTTAAGTATATCAACCATTAAAAACCACTGCTAAAGTAACTGTTCAATTTAAAAAAAATGTAAACTGAAAATTAAGAGGAAATCCTCAACAAGTCAAATTCCTCCAACATGTCACCCATTAGTTACAGCTGACTTTCCTTAGAGCAAGATGCAAACCCCCATTAGCTACACTGTTTTGAGGGTATAATGACAATATTCTTTGCTAATGATTAGACCTTAAACCAGACTGCTATCTCTCACCGTCACTTTTAGTTTACTAGAGATAATCACTACAGAGGGACACTGATAGATCTGTCTTAATAAAATTTGTTTCATGATTAAACCGTGGATATTTTTTCTCAAAATGTAATGCAAAACCATATGGTGAAATTAGGGACAAACAAACATGAGATTCAAGAAAGTGCTACCACATGACAAACAACTAAGCATCTTTCATATCCACACAGTGACAGGAAGAGGAAGTGATTCAAGACTATTCTGACGCACCATCATTTGCTGACTTCAGAGTTTTACTGGTGAACATGATATTGCATCCTCTTGTGGCCAGGTTCATGCAGTCACACAGAATCACACGGGTTCAGGTTGTGTTAACTCTTGTTCATGGCACGGCACCAAACTCAGGGAACAAGACAGAAGCCTCATTCAACCTATAATGAGTCAACAACCAAACCAGAATGACTATTAACAACTGAGAGAACAGATCTCCCAAATGAGATTGAAAGTCAGAATTCATTTCTCATCAGGTTAAAGGAATTTTGAAATTCGACGAAGTATGCAAGAAGATTGATATCAATTTCATCTGTGTGTCCAGTACAGAGTTTGTACTGGGGTTTGTTAACTTTTGTTAACTTCCACTTTTGTAGTGGATTGGATCCAAGTCGTTTGTTACTGGTTTTAATTTGCTGAATTAGAGTTCATATTGGATTTAATTTAGATGCAACTACAGTGATGGTAGCTTTGCAGCCATTCTGCCATGTAGGAGACATAGTATCTGTATTTTTGACTTTGAGAATCAGACCTAAAGGGCTGCTGTGATGGTTATTCCCACTCTGCTGCCCGTAATTACAGTATGAATGATGCAGAGCAGATCCATAAAACTGAAAACACTCCTTCCAGGAACTGTTTGTTTATGTGGTTAGCTAGCAAACTAGTCACCAATACATCTACACCTCTGCACTGGATACATGATTGATGTTGATCTTCCCGTTTGACTTGAGGTGACAGCAAACTTATTTCTAAACTGGCAAAAATCATATGTGAGATATATACGATAGTCCTTGTGTCTGTGTGTGCCTTAAAAATCCATTATACAGCACCTACACAGTGTAGCCTACTAACAAATGCCTGTCTGGAAATAATGTGCTTCCTTTATTTTTCATTTCCACACCTGCCACTTCAGGCTAAATTGTTGGTTTTGTGTGTTTTTTCACTTTCAGTGGGAATAATGACTTCAGTGAGAGATATTTTTTGAATATCGTCCAGAATACAAACTTGGCAAATACTTACCCAGGTCCCTTCAACTCCTCTGCAATGTACACCTTCATTTTCCCCTTTGTGTCACTGGAATGGTCACTTTCTTTCTTTCTGTCCTGATCTATTCATTCAGACTATCACAGTTGTCTGTTGACTTTTGACTCTTGTCTAACATTGTAAATGAACGCACTCTGTTGCCTACAACACAAACTGTTTTTTTTATGGAACATGGGGCAAAAACTCATTTGACAGGCACCGGTATTTTCCAGATTTCTGATTGGCTCCTTTATAAGTTGTATTTGCCATGACAGGTCCACATCTTGCCCTTATTTTAATGAGCAAATGGCATTTCATTTATGCAACCGCTTGGTCAATACTTTTGTAATAGTACATTGTGAAAGAAGAAGTATGACCACAACATGTTTTAGACACACAGGGTAGTTAGTGGAGAATGTACATTACTTGCGTTACGGGACCACACCAGTGTTTTACTTGTTTAAACAATTAGCACAGATCACATACTTTACTGCGGACCATTTTTTAAAGAATGCTGTATGGTTTCAGTTTTTCCTCCCTCTCAGCTATTAGTTTCCAATCATTCCATATGGTGTGAAAATGTATATGCAGTGACTTGAAACGTGCTTGTCCTGACTTCGAGCCATCATTCCATGTGAAGCTGAATGGTAATGCATCTCTGTCTCACAGAACTTGGGCATTTCTGTCACTGAGTAGCTCATACATTTTTTTACAGGAAAAATTTAAAAAATGAAAACCCATTTGCTCTTAGAAAATATTCTTAGCTACCTATCAGCTGGGGAAACCTGTCAGGCTGCTGTTTACATGGGCGCCAAAATAAAAAGGTCACGCAGGCAGTGTGGCTCGGGCATAAGGCACTTCCACACTGGCTTCAGTGGCTTTACTAATGTTGTGACTGAAATGTTCCAGAAGACAGCGATGCAGAACATTATATCAGCATTCATCTGTTGTTAGTTACATTGTTGCTCTGTTGTGATGCAAAGCATGTCAAGTTAATTTGAATAACGCAGTAGTGAAATGACAAATAATGGTAGCCTGGGAAGAAGGGAAAACATTCACAAATGTAAAACACTACAGTGAGATTTTTGGAAATTGTCAGCAGTAATGTTGATGAGTTTTAAGAATGAGCTAACCCACCAGTATGGTCTCTTAACCACCACTAATAACACCCTCAGACATTCGGAGTTGCTGTGTCAGCTAGTCAGCTATTTACACCTTAAATGAACAGCCAACATTTATTAGTTGAGGTAATTCAAAAGTACAATTTAAGGAACATCAGCATCTTGTGGGGTGTAACCTATATTTTGGTTGAGGTAAAAGAAGGAAACCAGTGTGACCTCCTCTCTGTGATACCCTTGCTCTGGCCACACAAACACAGTGACACAAACATCTCCCTGTTCTCTGCCAACATACCAACTGCTAAATTCCAATTGAGTGAAAATCGAACCAATGAGAGACAACTAGAGGTCTGTCAAATGTTAGCTGCCCCATGGTACACCTACTGAAATACCAGGTGTGCGGTTTCACTCTTGTACTGTTTCAGAGTTTCCCTCAGATGGGACCCATGTTAAAGTTGACAGCTTTACCGACCCGGCGGCAGTTTGATTGGTATACTCATTTTGGCGTCCATCTCTGGAGTGAATGATACGGTTTTATAAATGTAGGTCAAATAAATGTTCAGTAGGGTTGGAGAGAAAAATTACAGTTTGAAAGGTATTTGTTTATTCTGATAATGACATACTTTCCCTTCAATATTGTATTGGTGACAGTATTCATTTCAGCACTTTTTATTAATTGTTCCCAAAAATGTTCCATTATTGCTTTGAAACAAGTAGCCTGGCTTGATTACAGTCCAATGAAGTGAGTTTTCCCACACAGACATTTCAGAAAGAGCTGGTCCTCACAGAGAATTCATCTTATTGATTTGGTTCAAATTTAGTGGCGCAGAACCAAGAAACGATAGGTATAAATGAGGGTCTGACTAAAACATGTAGCTTATTCCTCCTCTTTAGTTTGTGACCATGGCAGTTTAATATCTTGGAAGAGCTCCAGGTTAGACATTTTCAAAGGCAGCTCACTCAGCCCAGTCGCCAGGAAAACATTTTGGCATTGTACGTTTCTGCAAACCACGGATTACATTGAATGTGGACGTCTTTCAATTCGGTCAGAGCAAGTGATCTAGTATATAGAGCAGGGACCCCCGACTATATATATTGTAAAAAATTTTGTTTTATATTAAACTGGGCCTAGTGCCATGTATACTAAGCTATTCAAATAATACACAGGTTCATATATTCATGTCTTTATTTTAAACATGTGCAAGGTCAGCTGATACCAATGCCAATATCAACATTATGTGTCAATTGCATGATAATCATGCATACAAGCTATTCAGATTGACGTTTTTATTTTAAACATAAATGTGGAAATGAAAGTGAGTGATGGCCTATTAGTGCCACTGCCATGCATAAACATACCTGTTATCTTGCATACAATACTGAACTATTACAATAATGGACACATTCATGTTTGGGAAAAAATAAAAAAATAAAAATTGTCTAATCAACCAAAAATTTCGCGGACCCCCTGTTGAAGACCTCTGATGTAGAATATTGAAAGTTACGTGGTATAATAACGAGTATTAACACATGAGAAAGATGCCCAAGAGACCGCTCTTCATGTCCAGTGTGAAACCAAAAGTAAATGTTGACTTGACGCTTGTTACGTATCTAAGGTCATTGTTATTTATTCGTAGTAGTTACGTTGTTACATTACATTGTCAAGTTATTATTTTAACACGCACCTTGATCTTTTTTCTAACCTTAATCAAGTAGTTTTGTTGACTAAACCTAACCAATCTAATCACAACATTAACCACGTGGCATTTTGCGTTTCTGCAAGCGTGATACGAGGCTGATATGAAATGCATTATTAGACATATTTTTGGTTTAGAAATGCCGACATTTAACCTGTACGTCACTATTGTAGTATAGCCACACAGGGAGCCTAATGTTCCTTATGTATTTGGGTCCTCTCAAAGTTGGTCTGTCAATCAAAGAAACTGAAGCTCATTGCTGAGAAAAATGTACCATATATTGCTAAATTTGGATCTGCATCAATGGAGTGCTTGTAACAATGTAGGTGGAAATGATGCCAGTAGTGCTGCACATAAAAGAAATCCTAGTCCAAGTAGATGTCTGAAGATTGTTCTCAGCTTTGGCAGTAGTGCTGATACTGCAATAGTATGGAATGAGAATGTAACTCCAGGCTTCTGCTGCAGATTTACATCCAAGATCAAAATCCAGCCTTATAACAAAGTGTAAGTGTAACATTGTCTAGACGAAGATTATACATTTTTAAACTACAGAGGTAAAATCATTGTTACCCCACAAGCACAAGACCTT